GAGAGAGAGAGAGGGGGGGATCCCCGGTTCGTTCTCTGACGTCAGGGGCACGCCAGAAATCCTGTCTCCACCACCTCCCGTCTCATCTGTTGCGATAATTTTCATCCTACGGTGCGCAATTTTCGTGCGGTTGCACACCACTGTCGTCATAACCGTGTCGACGGTTATTGGTTTTACGGGGGTGGTTCGCCTGACGAAAATTTCATGGCAGAGGGAACGTGCACAGAGGCGTACACGCGCGCTGCGCCTAGGGAGTTAATTATGCACGAAAACAATATTATCGAAGGAATTATCGGACGCAAGGCCAAACTTCGTAGAAATGCGCCTCCGCAACGGCGGCGACGAAGCCGCTGCTATTCGTCGCTTTTCCGTAGGGTTAATGCGCCGCACGGAATAAATCATTAACACGAATGACCCGTTCTCATCAGATTTATAAGCGATAGAAATTATAGGGGGTGATAGCCCGAACGGATTATTAGATTCTGGATTGTTATCAATGAGTAAAACTATAGATTATCGATTAATCGAAACATAAATATTTTTTGTTAAGATGAATGTAATTAACAAGGATGATAATGCGAATCGTTATAATATACGCGACAAAAAAGTTTTTTGGATAAACGACTTCACTGAATTATTTCAATGTGTAGAGTTTTACGGTAAATATGCAATTTAAGTAGAGGGATGCAGTAAATTATGTACGTGCCGGGACTTATAATGAAATAGTAATCTGAAGCTACAGAATTTTTATCATGAGATTTACATTAGTTTGAAGTTCATTAACGTGCAATCTGCTAATTACATCTTGCAATTCTGCCACTAATAATTCTTAAGACTTTCCTTGTAAAAAATATTTACACCGCGATAAATAAGCCGCCTTCAGCGGTAAATACTGCGGTATTTGCAACATTCTTATCTTACAGCTGCATCAGTAACTAAAACAAATTTACATTAATCCAAGGCGAACAACAAGTTTCTAGAAATGCAACGTTTATGCCTGGATGAGTTTGAATTTCTTCATTAATGGAATTTAGACAGCTCGTTCATTCGTAGGAAAACATGAAGTATATATATTTATAAGATAAGAAAGAGATTATTCAATATGAATGTTTGTTTTAATTCAAAGTATTTCTCTATTATTATATTAGCACTCTGTTTGATAAATTCAAGATACTTGTAGTTTTATGGACAGCTCTTATTGATTTTCGAAGAATTACCGAAGTAGCCTTATATAAAATGAAACACAAAAGATCTCGAGTCCGAGTGGAGTTTAGACAACGTCGTCAGTCAGTGTCTCGTAATTTTGGAAACGAAAGTCGACCGTCGGACTTGCATTATAGTTCCTGAGAAAAACGATCTTTTACCTAGAAGCTATCTTTATCCGTTATTTTCGCTTCTAAAGTGCTGATACGTCCGATATCAACGTGCGAGTTAATTTAAAACTTCTACTTCCTAATGAGAGAGAGAGAGAGAGAGGAAGTGGGAGAAAGAGTATTTTATTCTGGCCTTTAGTTTTATGTATTTGCGGAACTCGGGGTTAAACGATTTTACGGAGTTAGTAATGTCTAGAGGGATGATTAAATTCTCTTAAATTCTCTTAAATTCATTAGACTGCTAATCGCCATATGTTCGCTACAGCGGGATTCTGGAAAATTCGCGTTGCATGATAATCACGTGCGTGGTTTATCTTATCACCCCTCGCGTACTCGGCGCCCGGAACATC